CCCTCCCTCCGTGGCTGTGGGAGAGATTCGTGCAATAGCGTATAAATGTATAGACTGTATAGATCTAGATCGCCTTCGTGATGACTTCTTTTGGCATCAACCTGGTTCTGACAGTAGTGTTAGTATCACTGACATTTTGTACATTGTGGAAAGCTACCCTATGTATTAAATTTTGCTGATATAGTGTTACGAACCGATCCTTACTATTTTATATGGCCGCGCTTTTTGGTTCTATTTGCTCGCAACAAAGATTGTAAAACCAATTACTTTCCATGATATATTTATTTTCTTACTTATAGTCTTACATCAGTATTACTCAATAATTAGCGTTTCTATAACTTTCTCTAATATATATATATATATATATATATATATATATATATATATATATATATATATATATATATATATATATATATATATATATATATATATATATATATATATAATTCTTAATTTTTATAATTTTCTTATAATAATTCTTATAATTTTCACGACAGCTGAGCACAACTCTTAATTCCTGACAATTCTTTATCTTTAATATTTTCGCCTTTGTATAATCCTTTTAATTCTTTCTTTAACTTATAGTTTCTATATCTTCATGGCGATGTTATTCAGGCTTTCGCCTTATGAATGATGCATGAATTGTCTAGTTGTGCTCAGGCTTTTATATACGTTCTGAATTCTGATAGGGAAAGAAACTACAAAACTGCGACTCATTTCCCCTGCGCAATACAGTTCGTTGAAGCAAGTTTGAGTAAACCACAAATCGGCCAACGCCAAACCGAGTCATATCCGCTACGTTAATTGTGGGACATCTTAATTTTTAAAACTATTTGCTTACTCATGCATGTAAGCTATTTAATATGAATATAAGTATATAGTATAATAATATTTATTAGTATTTTTGCACAAGTGAACATAACAAATCCTACAAGTTGATTGGTCAAATTTGGCGTAATTAAGCTAAACCGAAATTTTCAAAATGGCGGCTAGCCGTTTTGTGGCGTTATACTGATAAAGAAATAATCGAAATTAAAATAAATTCAGTCCCAAAAAAACACAAGAGCTTGTGTAAAAATACTAGAACAATTATTCGCCTCAGGCTCGGTGATTATCGGGGACTATGCACCTTGACTTTGTCTTAGTGCCGTAGCCAGAACGATATTTGGGGGGGGGGGTGGTGGCACATATTTCATATATTCGTGTTCTGCTTTATTAATTTCTTTTGAAATCAATTGTTTTTATGGTATGTGAACACGAATAAATGAATATGTGTCCCCCCAATTATCTTTCTGGCTACGGCAAATATCGGCGAATATTCCCCGATAATCACCTCGCCTTCGGCGAACAATTTGTTAAGTACTATTTAAAACACGAGAAAGAGTGTTTATTATTTAAAACGCGAGGCGCAGTCGAGCGTTGTAGATATGATAAAACACTCCTCGTGTTTTAAATAGCTTAAAATAAGACTACAAAAGAATACTAATTAGGATGAGTTTTATATAAAGAATACTAATGAAGATAAGTTTTATGTAAAGAATACTAATCAAGATGAGTTTTATCAGGTATACTGTAAAGTCACTACACGTGACATATTATGGCTGACATGATTTGCCACAAGGTTTATGAATTTTTAATGAGTATTTTAAGTACTATTTAAAGCACGCGTATGAGTGTTTTATCACATATAAAACACGACTTCACGTGCTTTAAATGGCTTAAAAAACTACTCATCTTATATACGAGTTCATTGGCAAAGTGATTTTTAAAATAAACTTTGTCTAAACCGAGAAAATCAAAGCTAAAGTTTATATGTAAATTAACATGATTTTTTATCACAAATAAAACGACGACACGCTTATGATTTGTCTTTGTGTTTTGCTCCTGAATTATTAATGAGTTTTTAAGTACTATTTAAAATACTCATTAAAAATTCATAAACCTTGTGACAAATAATGTCAGTCATAATATGTCACGTGGAGTGACTTTATATCTGATAAAACTCATCTTCATTAGTGTTCTTTATATAAGACTTCATCCTAATTAGTATTCTTTATATAAAACTCATCCTAATTAGTATTTTTTTTGTGGTCGTATTTTAAGCTATTTAAAACACGAGGAGTGTTTTATCATATCTAAAACTCTCGGCTGCGCCTCGCGTTTTAAATATGATAAAACACTCCTTCTCGTGTTTTAAATAGTACGCAAAATAACATGATATTGCTTTTCATGTATAATAATAGACACAAGAAGTGATTCTACATATAACCAGTTTGAGCGCCGGGGGGCGCTATAGCCATCTATAGAGGTCTGGGGGCTTGCTCCACGGCCTGGAAAAAAGTATATATACATTGCTTGCAAAAAGTATACAGCTATCTCAATTGAGGTTGTCCACGAGCAAAGCGGAAAAGTCGAAAACGAGCGCGAAAAGCTGCTGGGAATAACTTTGAAAATTTATTAAGTTGTTAACGATTCCCAGCAGCTTTTCGCGCTCGTATTCGACATTTCCGCTTTGCTCGCATGGACAACCTTAATTGAAATAGCTGTATGCTGTATAAGACATTTAAGAGTGAATGTCAGTAAAAATCGAACATATGAGACATTGCGCGGCCACGACTGAAAAATCGATTTTGCTCAAATTTTGCCCAGATATACCTTATTATATCGGAAAATGCACCATATATTTTTTTAGGTCAAATGCTTTTTTAAC